GCCCAAGGCTTCTGCCGAGGGCACGCCCGCCTGAGCATCATTGGATTCCTCACGACCTCAGCACCTTCCGTTTCGGAGAGTGGTGGGGTCCGTGGTCGTGGCTTCCCTCGCTTCCCACTTGGAGAGCGTCGATAGCCTAAGGTGGAAGGGAATTGGAGAGCATTCCGAGCAGGCCAGTAGGGGCCGCAGCCTAGAGTGGTGCGTTTCGCTCCGCCCTGTTGTTGCCCTCCAGCACCCGTTTGTGGGTGGTGGTCTTCGTTTCCCTGAAAACGACACGTAAGGTCATCCCTCCGGTTTGTGTGGTAGCCGCCTTCCATTCGCTCCCATCAACTTGAGGTGGGCTTGCGGTTGGGGGTGTCGGCCTCGAGCTGTGGAGGTACGTCGGACCTTGCCTTTTGATCTCAGGTCGGGCGGGAGCACCCGCCCAATTTAAGCATATAACTAAGCGGAGGAAGAGAAACCAACGAGGATTCCTTTGGTAGCGGCGAGCGAACTCGGAACAGCCCAGACTGAAAATCCGGGGGCTGTGYTGCTCCCTGAATTGTAGTCTTGAGAGGCAACCTCTGCAGCGGGTCGTGTGCAGGTTCCTTGGAAGGGGACGCTGAAGAGGGTGACAGCCCCGTCGACCGCCGGACCCTGCTGCGCAACGAGGTGTTGTCCAAGAGTCGGGTTGCTTGGGAATGCAGCCCCTATTGGGTGGTAAGTCCCATTCAAGGCTAAATATGTGCGAGGGACCGATAGCAAAGAAGTGCCGCGGGGGAAGGATGAAAATAACTTTGAAAAGAGAGTTAAAGAGTGCTTGAAATTGCCGAGCGAGAAGCGGATGGAGGGGAAGTCGTGCGCTCCCGTCTAGGTAGGGGTGGACGGCTACGGTGTTGTCGCCCCCCTTGTTGGACGTGGGGTGCCTGCCAGCATGGGCTGCTGTGACCGGCATTGCGGTGGGGAGCGATTGAAACCCCCCATGAGTGGCCGTCACGGCAGTCGAGGACCTTGAGCACGCGCCTCTTTCGGCGGGCCCGTTCGGGTTCCTGCGTGTTCGGGATGCTGGCGAAATTCCTCTATCCTGCCCGTCTTGAAACACGGACCGAGGAGTTCAACGTGCATGTGAGCCGGTGGGTGATTAGCCCACGAGGCGGAAGAAACCTGAGTGGCTGGAACCCTCTGCGGGTGCAGCGTCCACCAACCACGATCTGTTGTGAGAGGTTTGAGTGTGAGCATGCCCGTTGGGACCCGAAAGATGGTGAACTATGCGTGAGCAGGGCGAGGCCAGAGGAAACTCTGGTGGAGGCTCGCAGCGATACTGACGTGCAAATCGTTCGTCGGACTTGGGTATAGGGGCGAAAGACTAATCGAACCGTCTAGTACCTGGTTCCCTCCGAAGTTTCCCTCATGATAGCTGGAGCTTTGAACAATTTTATCAGGTAAAGCGAATGATTAGAGGCCTCGACGGTGAAACACCCTCGACCTATTCTCAAACTTTAAATAGGTAAGATTTCAGGGTTGCTTAAGCGAACCCCTAGGATCAATGAAAGCTCCAAGTGGGCCATTTTTGGTAAGCAGAATTGGCGATGCGGGATGAACCGAAAGTCGAGCTACGGTGCCAAACTGCGCGCTAACCCAGACACCACAAAGGGTGTTGATTGATACAGACAGCAGGACGGTGGTCATGGAAGTCGAAATCTGCTAAGGAGTGTGTAACGACTCAGCTGTCGAATCAATCAGCCCCGAAAATGGATGGCGCTGAAGCGCGCGACCTATGCTCGGTTGTCGCGGCGATTCTGACGCCGCGACGAGTAGGAGGGCGCGGGGCCTGCTGCGAAGCCTGGAGCGTGAGCCTAGGTGAAGAGGGTCCCGATGGAAGTAGCAAATATTCAAATGAGAACTTTGAAGACCGAAGTGGAGAAGGTTTCCATGTGAACAACGCTTGGACATGGGTCAGTCGGCCCTAAGAGATGTGGAAACCTTGTATCAAGGGCGCACTGCGCGCCGCACATCGAAAGGGGGTCGGGTTAATATTCCCGGACCGGGTTGTGGAGGTGGACGGTAACATAAGCAGCTCCCGAGATGCCGGCGGGGCCGGCGGGGGCCGTGGGGAGGGTTCTCTTTCCTTCTTGACGGCTCGCCCACCCTGGAATCGGACCACTCGGAGATAGGGTGCAGCGCCCGGCAAAGCACAGCGCGTCCTGTGGTGTCCAGCGCGCCCCCGACGGCCCTTGAAAATCTGGAGCTGCGGGTACCTCTCACGCCCGACCGTACCCATAACCGCATCAGGTGTCCTAGGTGAGCAGCCTCTGGTCAAAGGAAGAATGTAGGTATGGATCCGTAACCTTGGGAAAAGGATTGGCTCTGAGGGCTGGGCCTAGGGGTCTGCGCCTCGATGTCGTTGGCTGCCGGTGGTCTGCCTGAGCTGCTCTCGCGGCGAGGGCGGTGCCCGCGGGCTAGTGTGCCGACGGGCGTAGAATGTCTTATGTCCCCACCTTTCGGATGGGGCCGTGGGACTCTCCGTAAGCATCCAACTGCCGGCTCAGAACTGGTGCGGACAAGGGGAATCCGACTGTTTAATTAAAACAAAGCATTGCGATGGTCCCAACGGATGTTGACGCAATGTGATTTCTGCCCAGTGCTCTGAATGTCAAAGTGAAGAGATTCATCCAAGCGCTGGTAAACGGCGGGAGTAACTATGACTCTCTTAAGGTAGCCAAATGCCTCGCCATCTAATTAGTGACGCGCATGAATGGATTAATGAGATTCCCACTGTTCGACTCTGTGAAATGACTTGAGAGGTGTAGAATAAGTGGGAGCCTTATGGGGCAAGTGAAATACCACTACTTTTAACGTTATTTTACTTATTTCTTGAGGTGGAGCCGGAGCTCTGCCCCTGCTTCTCGATCCAAGGTGCAGGCCCTCGTGGCCTGTCCGATCCAAGCGAAAGACATTGTGAGGTGGGGAGTTTGGCTGGGGCGGCACATCTGTTAGAAGATAACGCAGGTGTCCTAAGATGAGCTCAACGAGAACAGAAATCTCGTGTGGAGCAAAAGGGCAGAAAGTCATTTGATTTTGATTTCCAGTACGAATACAAACTGTGAGAGCATGGCCTATTGATCCTTTAGCGTTTCATAACTTGAAGCTAGAGGTGTCAGAAAAGTTACCACAGGGATAACAAGGTTGTGGCAGCCAAGTGTTCATAGCGACGTTGCTTTTTGATCCTTCGATGTGGGCTCTTCCTATTATTGTGAAGCAGAATTTACCAAGTGTTGGATTGTTCATCCACCAACAGGGAACGTGAGTTGGGTTTAGACCGTCGCGAGACAGGTTAGGGGTCTCCCCTGCTTGCCCCTCAGCGATCTTGCCCTCCCGCCTCTTCGCTTGTTGGGGTGAGTCTTGGAGCTCGACCTTTGCATTCGTGTGGATGTGGAGGGCACGGGAGAGCCGTACAACTTAGTGTGGTGGAATAGTTAGTAATTAGCATGGTTGCATGACACGCCTGTGGAAAAAGGGTTGTCCTCATTCCAGTGGAAGAGGGCAACAAGGGGAAAGTCTGACGCTTCAGGCGTATAGAGTCCCCAAAGTTCTCGCCTTGCGCTGAGGGTGGGTGCAGCCCTTAACGTCTTAGAAAACTAGCGAACAGGTCTGTGAAACGGGCTGCCCTCGCTTCAGCGCCAGAGGGCAACAAAGGGAAGACCTAGCGCTCTATGAGCATAGGCTCCCCCTAAACCATCCTGTGCTGGGAGTGGGTAAAGCCCCTTTCAATGACTTAAACAACTAGCCCAAGACTGCCCTCATGAAAATGAGAGCAAGCCTGGTCTAAGACGGTAATAAAGACTTGTCACATATAATATGTTAGTAACAACAGAAGCCAGCCAGGAGGATCATATCAACCGGGCCATATACTCTATATATGTGCCCGCACATGATCCACTCGATATTACCCTCGCGGGAAGTGCGTAACAAAAGGGGAGAACGGACCGACCCTAAAGGGAAGCCAAGAGGTGTCAGAATTGGAAGGGGCAATGTTGCGAAGACATCCGAGACCCTTTAACGAGGCAATCAGGAGTCAAAGCGGCATCCCCTCGGCAACGCGAAAACTCGGGAGAAGTAACAAGCAAAATGGGGGAAACGGACCACCCTAAAGGGAAACCAAGAGGTGTCAGCATTGGAATGGGTAACACCGCAAAGACATCGGAGACCCTCTAACGAGGGAATCGGGAGTCAGAGCGGCATCCCCTCGGCAGAGTCGGAAGGACCAATTTACCCCCTCGAGGACCAGGTTGCGAGTCAAACCGAGAGAGTGTGATGTTTTGCCCAACACTCGAACGGCATAGTGACCCTCCAATCCCCCCCGAGGCGAGTGAGATATGCCTATCACTCGTGTGGAATGGCGAACCAACCCATACCCCTCGTTCCAAGAAAAGCAAAGGGGGGGAACGGACCGACCTTAAAGGGAAGCCAAGAGGTGTCAGAATTCAAGAGCACTTCATGCATTGATGGAGGAAAATCTTCGAAAATGTGGAACCGGTAAAAAACCGGTCGGAATGAAATACAGAAAAAGGGTATTAGACCAAAAGCGGGGAGCCGAGACCCAGCTGAGGCAGCCCCTCAAACAAATTTGGTGGTCCTGGTGCCACAAACCAGGTGCAGGGACAACCGTTGGGAGGTGGTATCCCTAAAGAATTTCTCCTGATCAAGTAAGCGAAGAGGCAGACACGGGGCCTACAATCTGTGCAACGGCGAACTCAATGCCGATAAACCACAAGGGATATTATCAGACAGTAAAGTGACTATTGAACGCGACAGGAGGCTGCGAAGTCAACGGCTTGGAATTTGGGAGGGTTGCGCGCCAGGACATTAACAATCCCTTAAAGTTATCCCAATTCAGGAGCGACTCAAAGCTTATCCTTAAATTGGGAATGAATGAATTTAAAAAGGGTAAACGAAATAAATACCCACTTGCGCATTTTGAAAAAGTGGACCTCATCATTCGATGGATGCTCAACAAATCTGCAATTGAGACATTTGAAAGAGCAAACAGAGCCCGGATGACCGTGAAAGGCCCAGCAGGTGAGATGAGAGATAGAGCTCGACGGAAACTCTACTTCAAGCATGGTAYAGATATTAATGCCCTGTACCACTTGGACCGACATAAGTTCCACCAAAGACTATGGGAAAATGCAACGGACGACGAAACCCCCACGCCAGTTGAAGAACTCTTCAATCATTGGGGAGCTGAAATGGATGGGGACCAACTCGAACCGGGCGACCTCCCGCCTTTCCCTAAAGAAGAGGAGTTCAGTATTGGAGGGGTAGAGAACAACATACGCAACACACCAAATTCACTCGGACAGAAGTGTTGAAAGCCTTGAAAGAGACACATGGGAAGAAGGCACCCGGGTACGATGGAATCAGCAATCGAATTTGGCAGCAGTGTTGTCGAAACGGGTTGCTGACCTATTGGACGATCTTGTTCAACATCCTCGCAGATGAGGGACAGATCCCGGAAGCATGGAAGGTGGGGATAACAGTCCTACTGCCAAAAAGCGGGAAAGGCTTAAACCTATCCGGAAGCTACCGGCCAGTGGCATTACTCCCCACGTGTTTCAAGGTCCTATCCAAGGTCCTCACTATGAGGATTGAAACACAACTGAATGAGAATGAAAACTGGAGCAGCTCCCAACGAGGCGCCTGAAAGGGTATCCAGGGATGTGCTGACAGCTCTATGATTGTCCAAACTTGCCTTGAGGATGCTCGAAGGAGAAGTAAGCCCATTGTGGGGGTTTTTAAGGACCTCAAGTCGGCCTTTCCTTCCTTGCAACTTGGGCTTATAAAGAAAATAATTAACCTCACGGGAGTCCTGGAAGAGCTCGAAAAACTATGGGTTAGCACATGTACAGGGAATAGGGGAATCTTCTGCGTCAATAGAAAATACTCACGCCCCCTAGAGGTGAAAAGAGGGGTAGCCCAGGGCAACACGATCTCAGCGCTCACGTTCAATGTGGCAAGAGATACAGAGTCGAAGTGGATTGAAAAAGAAACCAAAGGATACTCTTTGGAAAATGTTRAAACCGAAGTACCACTGCTTGATTATATCGACGACCAATTGATGTTATCCGACAATAAGGAGGATATCACCTAGATGATCGAAATATCGGATGCCTGGATGTCATGGGCAACCATGAGATGTGGAATGGATAAGTGCGCTTTCTTTGCAGAAGAATACACCAAAGGGGTACGGAGAAATTGGGACCTCGATATCTGCCTACAAGGGAATGTTGTCCAAAGAGTCAAAAGGGGAGACACCTACAGACATTTGTGCCTAGAGGTGTCCAGTGGGCAATGCGACTAACAAGCAATGCACGAAAGATGTCAGAGTAGTCAAATTGGAACAAATCCAGAAACGACTAAGATCGAATCAGCGAGTCTGATATGGCTAACCTTCGTGCGGTACATAAAATTGAAATTATTAAGACAGCAGGGAAAACCCTTATTGACATAATATTTAATGCTATCGAGGTCCCCAAAACAGTACTTAACAAAGCGGATAACGTAATATACAAAGCAGTACGAGCAATAATTGAATTCCAAAGCAAAGAAGGAATTCCACTACTCTTTCAGGCACACCCCAAGCAGATGGGACTCAGGGTACCTTCGACAAGACAAATAGAGGCCACAACCCTGACGAGAAACACATTCAACTGGCTAAATAGCAATTGCCCTACCACCCGGTCTGCTTTCACA